AAAGCACGATATAGTCCGAACGGAATGAGCTAGAGGCTTGAAATTTTCCACAAATATTCTCTATAGATAAGGTTTGTTTGGTATTGAAAATGGGCAATATCGGTCCACGTTTTCGGATAGCCAAGTGGACCCCCGACAGCTTTAATGGGCATATCTGTTTTAAAAGTACGAGTAAAGCGAAGAAATTCGACACAAATAAGTGTCGAATCCAAAATCTCCCTACCAATTTTTGTTAGGATCGGTTCATAATTAACCCTACCTCCATAAGGTGACACTAAGACGATTTAGCCATATCTGTCCGTCTGTCTGTATGTTGAAAGCACGATATAGTCCGAACGGAATGAGCTAGAGGCTTGAAATTTTCCACAAATATTCTCTATAGATAAGGTTTGTTTGGTATTGAAAATGGGCAATAACGCTCCACGTTTTCGGATAGCCAAGTGGACCCCCGAAGTGATATTCGATGTAAAGATATTGTATATAAACCAAAATCGGTCTAAAAAAATTATGAAAAATTTTAAGAAAAACGGTCAATAATTAACCCTATCTCTCATATAAGATCCTCGTTAGTTAATTTGATGAGTAACATCACCCTGATGTTTATAAAGGAGCAGTAGGGCATACGGTTTGATGGTGGGTTAATGAGATTCGGCACAGCCGGATATAACACTCTTACTTGTTATAAAATTTTAAAAAAATTTAAATTTTACTCACACAAAATAAGCTATTAGTATATTATTTTGGAATTCGGGTACTAAGGCCTTTACAGGACCAAATTCGGGTAAATTGTTTGGTACTTTTTGAAAGCACAATTTTTCTGGAATAAATGAATGCAGATTTCAATCGTTTGAGGCAATCAATATGTACTTAATTCTGGTTAGGGTAGCGAAGCACTCAGGGTATTCTAGTTGTAAATAAAACAGTATCAGCTCCAATTCACAGAAGTGTAATGTATGCACTAATATACACATAACCATACATATACATTTGTATAAAGTGGACGTCATTAAAAAAAGCAAATATGTATTATTACTTATATAAAAACTATGTTTTTAAATATTTGTATAGTATGACTCATTTTTATGCCCACCATCATTAGATAGTTGGTATATTGAGATTGTCATTCAATATGTAACACATTGAACTGTTGCTCGTTTAATATCTATGGTCCATACATATGTACCTATATTTGGCGCTAATATGATGGGTCTTAGATCAATATTTCGATGTGTTACAAACGAAATGACAAAACCAATATTCCGCCATAATTTTTTGATAGGGGGTATGCAAATTCTATCGAATTTTATATTAAATACTTGAGAAATTGCTTTATATTGTTGAATATATAAAAAACCTGTGTTTACTGTTATTTTATTTGAAAATGTTCGTAATATCTAAAAAAACTTTATTGCACACTTTCTACGAATTATTTAAAATAATTTTCAAACGAATTTTGTTTTAAATCGCTATTGTTATTTTTCAGATAGATATTTGTTATTGTTATTATTTTACGTTGGTGTATTGTGTTGTATATGTTACACTCAAAATACCGGTTATAAATACAATAATATTGTATTGTAATTGGTTTTATTAAATAAATTTTGGCAAATATTAATTTGACTACTTGAATTTAGCAAAAAAAAAAAAAAATCCACAATTCATTTCTATAAAACGCAGTATCGGTATGAAATACTACGTTCAAAACAAAATCAGCAGTTTTAAAAGTGGCACGAGCGACTCAAATACAACAGGTTTGTTCGTTTTAAGACATAAATCTGTATTTTGTTTATTTTATTTTTATGTGAAGTTCATTATTTTATTTATGTTTATTAATTTTTATTTAAAGGTCACGCATGTGCCAGCAAAGTCTATTCACTTGTATTCACATATTCTTTGTTCAAAAAAAAAAAATACACTTTCATTAAATAAGCCAATCAAAAATTTAATTGATTGATAATGTGAGTTTTTTTATTCTTGCTGGTTTCAAAAATTCTTTAAATTAATATTTTACCAGTAGCTTGTTGTTGTTGCTGTTTTCTCACTTTACTTCAGTGGTTTAAAATAATTTAATTAATTCGTTTTATTTGTAGGTTGTTGTTTTATTCGTGTTACTTGTTCAACGTTTCTCAATAAACTAAATTGTTTTGTAGTTTGTTGTCTGTATTTTGTTTTCTTTTGTATTGAGTTTAAATAATGTATTTGTTTTGTTATTGTTTTATTTGTATAAATCATAGAGATCTGAGTTTTTAGTGATGTACAATTTTTGTTGGCTTATGTATGGCTCTACGTTTGAGTAGTTGTTGATGACTAATATATGTATATTTCGCTACCTACTTAAATGGTATTGTTTTTTCATACACATAGTTTTAAATAATAAAGATACCTGTTTACTCTTTTTCTACACTTATTAAAAAGGAAAAAATGCAGTTAATGTTTTGTGTGGAAATGGTGAGAGAAAGACACCAAAAAGAAATAAGAAACAAAAAACAAGTAAGAAATTATATTCGTGCGAGGCCGACCATATAATAACCTACACCTGTTACAAAAACAAAATATGATTTAGTTTTCATAATAAAGCATTCAAGCTGGAATTATACTTAAGCCATTTATTGTTGAACAAAATTGTTGACATTTAAGTCAAATTTTGAAGGGGGATTTGTATAGGGGCTATGGTCAAATGAGACCCTATAATTATAAAATTCATCAGAGTCATTAAAGCTAGTATAGAACTTGTTTTTGCAGCTTTTTATCGAGTATATTAAACATAATTATGAACTTAAAATCCCTATTCGTCGGGTTCAGTTGTATGGGGACTAGGTGATATAATGGACCGATGTTAACCATTTTCAATAGACTTCGTCTCCGGTACCATAGAAGATCATATGCCAAATTTCATTGAATTATCTTCAAAATTGCGGCCTGTAGTTTGATTGCAATGTTTACAAGCCCTATTCGGGCGTTCAGTTGTATGGGGGCTAGGTGAGAAAATCGATGTTAACCCTTTTCAATAGGCTTTGTCTTCGATACCATAGAAGATCATGTGTCAAATTTCATTGAATTATCTTCAAAATTGCGACCAGTAGTTTGATTACAAGGTTTAAAAGCTCTATTCAGGGGTTTAGTTGTATAGGGGCTAGGTGAAATAATGGACCGATCTTTACCATTTTCAATAGGTTTCGTTCCTGCGACAATAGAAGATCATGTGTCAAATTTCATTGAATTATCTGCAAAATTGCGACCTGTAGTTTGATTACAAGGTTTACATGGACGGACAGACAGACAGACAGACAGACAGACAGACAGACAGACAGACAGACAGCCAGACGGACGGACAGAGGAACATAGCTAAGTCAACTCAGAAAATGATGAACCGACTGATATTATTATCAAATTGTCGTAAAAATTGAGACCTGTAGCGTGAGCGCAAGATTTACATGCACACACAGACGGACGGACACACGAACATTGTTATACTTTAAAGTGGGTGTAGGATCAATATTTTTGTTACAAATATCAGAGCAAACGCTCCCCACTACAGTGGTGTAGGGTATAAAAAGTAGGAGTATTATATTCGGTCATGTCGAATCTTATATACCCATCATCAAATCATGTGCCATAAATTTTAAATTATTCGGCCCTTTTGTTATTTGATCAAAAATTAATCATTAATACTGAACTATATTGAGTTTTAGAATCGTATATCAAAAGTTATACTATTTTCAATACCATTTTCCGAATAGTGCATTCAATGGGGGTAGAAACTATATTGCGTTTTTTTGGTTTCTATTACATTTATTTCTTTTTGTATAAAACTTGGTCGAATTTCATCGCTGTACTGTATTTTCAAGCCAATATTGAGCGTTAAAGCAATTTTCTGAACGGGACCTTATATGGACCGATCGTCATCAAATTTGTTAGAGAGATTTGGTTAGTATAAAACTTGTTTATGTCGAATTATATTACTATGCACATATTTTTGAGCCAGTAATGATCGCTAAAACTATTTTTTAAGAGGCCTAATCTAATCTAAATATACCAATCACTGATTGAGCATTAAGATTAGATTATAGGACAATACGGTTATAGGACAATACGGTTATAGGACATAACGGTCCGATTGTCTACTCAGCAAAAACTAACATTGAAATATAATGAGTTAGAAAGTAATGAGTCTTTTAACGAGGTGATGACATGTCTTCAGACTCGCTTACGTATAACTAAGATAAGTACTTAAAAAATATGGAGTTAAAAAGTTTTACGGCAAAATAATTGCTCACTCAGAGTACTAACGAACCTGGGACTCTAGTTCGTTAGTTTGCTGTCGTACTTACAACACCACTGCTTAGATATTTCGTTGTGCGTCCAATAATAGCGCAGAAAAACTGAATCCGTTTTGAGTGTGTTTTCACGCAGAAAAACTGGTCAAATCAAAATGTGTATTTACATATCCAATTATAAAAATGCTTAAAAGTGATGCAGACGGTATGTATTAGTCATTGAAAGGTAAGTTGTAGTGTAACTAAAAGTCATTGCCGACTTTTTGAAAATACAATAGGGTCCAAGCATGATCAGCTAGCTTAAATTTTGTTAGTATTTATTTAATATTGAAAACGCACAGTTTCAGTCCTCGATTTTTTCTAGCTCTTTAAAAATGTCCGTCTAGAAACAATTTAGCAATGCTTATCAATAATTTGTGAAAACTTCAGCCTTCTACCTGCTCTAATTTAGACCCTATCATTACGAATGACAAACAGATGGACAAGGTTATTAGAATCTAATGAAGACCTATATTATATTTGTGGGCCTTAGGCAAATATTTCGATGTGTCTGTTATTTGGATAGTAGGTGTATATGTATATAAATATTGCCGAATAAACTTATTTAACATCACTGTCTCTGTAATTCCCCCTAAAAACATTACATGTACTACTACTTAGTAAAATTAATTCACAAATAAAGTTTAGCTTTTAGTTTATTGAAAATATAATTCTCTGTTTGTTTTTTCTGTTGGTTATTTAATTTATTTAATTTTTTTAGTTTTAGTGGCGTTGGTTTTGTTTTGAGTTGATTGTATTTGTTTCATGTGTTTAACTTCATAACTAAATCATCTCAATAAATTGAATTGAATAAATACGTATATACATATATACCGGTCTTTATTGTAAACACTTAAATTGTATTAAATAATCATTTTGTTTTCATTGTAATAAATTTCTCAAATTTTCTACGAAGACGCAAATTACAAAAATGAACAATCTTAATGTAATTTAATATTTCTTTTTTAACAATTATGTATGTGTAGTGAAATTTAATATTTTCGTAGAAAATAAAAGTAGGCAAAAATAGAACATCTCGAATATATATGTGAAATTTTAGATTTTAAATGGAATGATTCCTTGAATAATCTTTTGTATATTTAAAATTCCAAAAGTCAGGATAAAATTTAAATTTACAATATAAGAAATTTATTATATAAACATATTAAACATTTAATTTTCCCACGTTTATCAATTACTTGCAACAGGCAAGTAATTGATATATAAGACCAGTATAACAAAGAATTTGACATGCCTTATCAACAAATTTGGAATCATTGCTTTTAGTTACAGTTGGATATTTTCTGGTTATTGGTGAAGTGGTGGTGGTTGTTGTTGTTGTTGGAAATAATGGTCTGGGAGCCGGATAGCATATGGGTCTTTTAATATCTACAACTACGCCTGATGTATTTGTTTCGCTAAATGTTAGACGTTCACAAATAACACCATTCGGAGCAGAACTTTCTAAAGCATCTAAAGGATCTGGCTTGTGATGGAAAATATCATTTAAAATATCATCCGTAAAAGCTTCAATATCTATAGTTTTATATGGTTCTGGTTTTTCACCTCTATTGACTTTATCTAAAAATTCTCGAAATTTTTTTGATTCCCAAAGCAAGGCTTCTCTTAATTTATCACCGCTTGTTAATGGCTTTTCATCAGTCAAATATGGAAATTCCAAAGATCTAGGATATATACACTTTAATGAATGGACATAACTATCAGGTGTTCCTTGTATTGCTAAATAATATTTTCGTAAAAAACCATAACGTGCTAAAAAAATGAATGAAATATATCACATTAAAAAAAATACCGTAGAATATGAGTATCTAGATTCTTAAACTACCTGTTTCGGAGGTTATCGGTCCCGTGCAATATATGGCATTTTCCGGTAAATTGTGAAGACTTCTATGAAATGACATATTTGGAGACCATTTTTGCTGTTTTATAGAGTCTCTTTTCAAACGTAGCTTAGAAACAAATTCATTATAGTAATTATTATTACAATTGCATTGGACCAATTGAATCATCAAGACGGCCACTAGTAGAACAATTTTATTATTTTGAGTTTCCATTGATAGAACTGTTTCTAAAATAAATTATTCTTTACACTATTGCAGATTTAACGCGACTAATCCGTTTTTATTATAAATTCGTATTTAAATGTTCGGAGAAAATAAATCTGGGAAAATATATGTAATTTAAGATAAACTAATAAAATGAAATGTTGGAAGAAAAATAAAATGTTGAATCATGTAACCACTACTGTCGTTCGTAGATAAATTTTTGAGTTTTTTATACCCTCCACCACCATCAGTGGTGATAGAGGGTATATATAAGTTTGTCGTTCCGTGTGTAACACAAAGAAATATTCATCTAAGACCCAACAAAGTATATATATTCTGGGTCCTTATGAAATTCTGAGTCGATTTAGCTGTGTCCGTCTGTCCGTCTGTCTGTCTGTCTGTCTGTGTAAAACACGCTCACGTTAAAACTAAGTAAAGAAAATCAACCAAATTCACCCAAAATATTTATTGGTTTCCTAAGCAGTTTGGTATTGAAAATCAGCAAAATCGGTTCTCAACGTAAAAAGTTATGAGTAAAAATTTCAGACTACCTCGAAAAAAATTACGTTTTTTTCCTAATTCTTTTGAAGTTTTCTCAGAAACTAACAAAGATATTGCGATGAATTTTGTCACACTTTATTTTTTTAGGGCAGTGATCAATTTTGTTCAAAATCTTTATAATCGATCCAATACTTCTCATAGCCCCCATACAAAGGTATATATTCCCGGAAATTAGTTTATCGTTAATAACTCAATTAGATATATCGGTATCAACACCAAATTTTGTACATACAAATATAATATGAACAGAAATCATACTACCAACGTAGATCTCAGTCGCTCCACAATTGGTCATAGCTCCCATATAAGGTCCACTTCCGAAAATCACCTAAACGCACATATTTCATTGATGAATAAAGCTATTGTGATAAAATTTGGGCTGGATATGTTTTGTGTACATACAAATCATTCTACCAAATTTTTTGCGGATCGGTCCATTATTGGTCATAGCTCCCATATAAGGCCCACTTCCCAAAATCACTTAAAAGCACATATTTCAATGTCAAGTAAAGCTATCTTGATAAAATTCTACACAAATATGTTAAGTCAAAATATAAATCACTCTACGAAATTTTTTCCGGATAGGCCCATAATTGGTCATAGCTCCCATATAAGGTCGACTTCCGAAAATCACTTAAACGCATATATTTCATTGAATTATAAAGCTATCGGGATAAAATTCGACACAAATCTGTTTTGTATACATACAAATAAATTATTATATCCGGATAAAATTTGACATAAGTATATTCTGTGTATAGATAAATCATTCTAAATTTTTCTGGACCTAATCAAAATTAGTTCGACAAAAATTTTGGCGACTTATCTAAAAATTAGATAGTTAGATGGGTTTCAATAAAAAGTAGCTTGCTGGTGGAGGGTATTTAAGATTCGGCATAGCCGAATATAGCACTCTAACTTGTTTTAACTTCTGTTTTTTGTTAAATATAAATAAATTGTTATACCTTACACCATTATAGTGGGGAGGGAATTGTGCGCTTGTGCTGTTGTTTGTAACACCAAAACATATTGATCGCACACCCACTTTAAAGTATACCAATCGGCTCAGATTCACTTTGTGAGTCGAAGAAATTTGGCATGTACGCCTCTTTCGATTCGAGGACGAACGTTAAGTATACTGGCTACATTGGAAGGTTATACGCAATCATCGGACGTGCCTGATCGTATACCAGGCACAGAATATGTCGGAAACTTTGAAACGCTGATCCCAGATAGAATGTCTTGGTCAAGCGGAACATTAGAGCAAATACCAGTAGGAATCCATTGTTACACGGATGGCTCTAAATTGGGGGCTGCAACCTTGCTCTGTAGAGCCTTTAATTTAAAGAATTTATTTATACTAATTTAATGTTTTGGTTATTCTTTAAAATTTATGTTTCCCCATCCCTGACAATAACAAACATAAAACGGTGTTTATTGTAAACACTTAAATTTTATTAAATAATTATTTTATTTTCTTTGTAATAAATTTCTTTAATTTTCTACAAAAATGTACATTGTACAATCATAATGTATGTAATTTAATATATTTTTATAAACAATCATGTATCTACATATACTGAAATTAAAGATTTGCGATGAAATAAAATTTCTTAAGATGACTTTGCACATTAGGAATGCCGAAAAAATGGTAATTGCATACATATACATACAGTGAATCAATTAAGTAATTTGCCTATGTAAAATTTTATAAATTTTAAAAAAAAACTTTATCTGAACAATTATTTTTAGCAAAATAAAGCAATTTGTTTGTTGTATTTTTTAAAGAATATCTTATATTTTAATTTTCTACCATAAAAAGTAAAATCGTGATATTAATTAACGAGATTTTTCATAAAATGTGAACGTATTGTTAATTTTTAAGGTCAATAAAGTATTTTGCTTTTTTAGGTTTTTTGTTCATTTTTTAATATTGCTGCATTATTTTATAAAATTTAATATTTTTATTACTCCTATATATTAGAATAACATTTTTTAGATATTTTAGTAGTGGAACGACTAAGTTTGGACGTTTCTTAACCGATTTATTATCCTATATACCTATAAGAATTTTCAATATTTGACTTAACATGAAATCTATCGTTTCTTTGATTTAATTTCGAAAATAATAAGTAATTTTGAATTGGATACATAATATATTAGATAATCAATGGATTTGGACATAAAAAAAATGTTTAGTGGGGTATAAATCTATATATTATAACAAAAATGATCTGGGTTTTTGGTAATTTTGAATTGATAAACAAAAACTACATTACGGAAACCCCATCTATTTGGGGAGTACTGTGTGAATTTTATTCAGAATTGTATGATATTGATTCTTATTCAATAAAGCTAACACTAAGTACCATCCTAGCCACTCTAAGTATGGGGATATCACCGTATACCACTATAGAACTATTACATGCTAGAATCTTGATATTCTACCTCATATTTTGAATGCATTATTTTATGAATAAACAAGTAAGAAATTATAGTCGGGCGTGGCCGACAATATGATACCCTACACCAATTGCGAATATTAAATGTGATTAATTTCAATAATGAAGCATTCTGTTAATCTTATATAGGTTCCAAATAATGTCTGTTTATGTACGGTTGTATGCTGACTAGGAGAAATAAAAGACCGATTTAATCATTTTCAACAGCCTTTGTTATTGGATCCAGAGAATAGTATGTGACCTTTAACAAATTATATTCAAAATTGTGATCTGTTGCGTGCACACAAGGTTTAGAGTCACAACGACGGACATAGCTTAATAAGGACAAATATTTTTGAGTGTTACAAACATCACCACATTGTGCCGACTTTTGGATAGATAGTAGTATATTATACGTAGTTGAAAGATAAAAGGCCGTAATCGGAAGGTCCGGATGTATGGGGGCTAGGGCAGAAATTGAGCCGATCCTTATAAATTGTATTATTGGGAATTATCTATATACATATATAAAAATTAATGTGTGTTTGTTTGTATGATTGTATGTTCATATGTTTGTGTGTTTATATGTTTTCTTAAAATTTCCACAGCGTATTCCTGTATATCTGGCAATAGGCTACTTTTTATTTTCGATCACGGTAGGTATGGTTGTATGGGGGCTAGGGCAAAAATTGGTCCGATCCTTACAAAATTTAATGTCGGCATTTATGTTTATATAAAATCTATTTGTGGCAAATTTCATCGTGATACTAGGGTTTATAAGTGAATTGTGGACATTAAAGTAATTTTTTGAAGATTTTGTATGGGGGATAGGGTCAAATAATGCCCGATCATTATAAAAATCGACAGTCTTATTTATAATTATATCAAATTTTTGGAGAGATAGTAGTATACTTGACAAAGTTATGAGCTAAAAGGCCCAAATCGGAAGGTCCGTTTATATTGGGGCTAGGGCAAAACTTGGGCCGATCCCTATAAAATTTATTTTTGGGTATTATGTCAATACAAAACTCATTTTTGCCAAATTTCATCGAGATACTAGGGTTTATAAGTGAATTGCGGACATTCAAGTCATTTTCTGAGGGGGACTTTGTATGGGGGCTAGGGTCAAATAATGCCCAATCTTTACGAAAATCACTACAATTATTAAGACGTATATAAAAATAAATTTTTCCTATTTTTTGTAGAGATAGTATATCATTTAACATAATTATGAGGTCAAAAGCCCTATTCGGGGGGTCCAGTTGTATGGGGGCTAGGTGAAATAATGGACCGATTTCAACCATTTTCAATAGCGTTCGTCCTTGGACCAAGAGAAGTGCACGTTCCAAATTTCATCAAATTATCTCAAAAATTGCGACCTGTAGAGTGCGCACAAGGTTTACATGGACACACAGACAGACAGACGGACGGACGGACGGACGGACAGACGGACATAGTTTAATCTCAGGAAGTGATTCTGAGCCGATTGGTATACTTTAAGGTGGGTGTAGGACCAGTATTTTTGGGTGTTACAAACATCAGCACAAACGCATAATACCCTCCCCACTATAGTGGTGTAGGGTATAAATACAGTAGGCGTAGTTGGATTTGGATAGTTATTCTTGATTTGGGTTCTAACTATATATAAGTGTATGTATTAGCTGAAAAATATTGCTTTTGTGGATCTTAGGTGATGAGAACCGCCTCTATTTGTAAATATCTAAATTAAGTATTTTTCCCGTACCACACGATAGTTCACTTTATATTGTTTCCAAACAACCTAAGGTCTGTTTAGAGGTCTAAATTTAAACATAGTGTTCTTTTAAGTTCGTATATGGACTTTGGAGAAGATAAATGAGGACTTCAATGGTTTTTGCTTGGATACAAGTCGCTCTCCTTTGGCAGTTAAAGATTTTGAAAGACAACTCAGTGCGTTTTTTTTAAATAATTCTTTGTGTTATTTCATCAATTTCTATATTTTATATTTTTTAATGATTGATTAAACATCTCATAATTGAATTTAATTGATTTATACTTGTTCTAAAAATCTAAACTAATTTTTTATATTGGAATTGCCTCATTATTTCCCTTTAAACATTTTTAACGCAAATAACTACACAGTTTCACACAATAATTTTTGAAAATTACAATTGAAAAATACTTAACACGTGTCATTTTAACAATAAAACAATAAATTCCAAAAAGCAATTAAAAAATAATTTGATAAATCCAACAAAATTAACTGGAAATTTCAATATGCAAAATACTTTATTGACGTGCAAATTCTGATGAAAAATAATAAAATGCAACAACAAATGCACCAAAATTTTTTTTTATAATTTTTTTTTTCTTGGTTTTCCCATTCTACACAATCTCTATTTTCAATTGGAAAACATAAATTTACTTTTTACCTGTTTTTTGGAATTTTATTTATGAACAAAAAACAAAATTCTCTTAAAAAAAAGGTAGGCAAAAAACATAGTTGATACACTGTATGTATGTATTGAATTTTCCCACGATTAAGTCATTACTTGCAACAGGGTAGTAATTGATATATTAGACCCGTATAACAAAGTATATGACATGCCTTATCAACAAATTTAGAATCGTTACTTTTAGTTACAGTTGTTACTGTTGGATATTTGCTCATAATTGGCAAAGTGGTTGTTGTTGTAAATTGTGGTCTTGGCGCCGGATAGCATATCGGCCTTTTAATATCTACCACTATACCATGCTCATTTGTCTCGTTAAAATGTAGATGTTCACAAATAACACCATATGGAGCAGAACTTTCTAAATAATCTAAAGGATCTGGTTTCGGATTAAAAATTTCATCAAAAATATCATCGGCCAAAATATTAATGTCCATAGTTTTATATGGTTCTGCTTTTTCACCTCTTTCGACTTTTTCTAAAAGTTCTTTCAAATTTTTTGCTTCCATTAGCAAGGCCTCGTTAAGTTTATCAACAGCCGTTTTAGGTTTTTCTACTGGCGAACTTGGAAATTCCAATGATTTTGGATATATACACTCTAATTCATAGCCATAGCTATTAGGTTTTCCTTGTATTGCTGAATAGTATTTGCGTAAAAATCCATATCGTTCTGAAGACGAAAAAACAAATCATCACAATTAAATAAAGAAGAAATAAATTTATCTCAATTAAAAAAGTACTATAAAAATATGATTGTTAAAATTACCTGTATCAGAATTAATGGATTCTGTGCAATATATGGCATTTTCAGGTAAATTGTGAAGATTGCTATGAAAAGACATATTTGGAAGCAAATTCTGTATTGTATTATCCTCTATTGTGTAGTCCCTTTTCAAACGTAGTTTAGAAACAAATTCATTAAAGTAATTATTATTACAATTGCATTGGACCAATTGAATTATCAAGACGCCTAGTAGTAGAACGATTTTATTATTTTGAGTTTTCATTGAGAGAATTGTTTATTTAAACAAATTATTGTTTACACTATTGTAGATTAAACGCGACTAATTTGTTTCTATTATTATGTCGTATTTAAATGTTCAGAGAAAATAAACCTGGGAAAATATAGTTTAATATAAACTAATAAAATAAAATGCAAAAAAAGTCATTCTCGGTTTTTTTTTAACAATTTATTTTGTTAAGTATAAATAAATTGTTTTCAATATATAAATATAATGACGATTTTGTGAATAGTAAAGTCTTATATTAACTGATAAAGTCATGAATTTTAATAAATATTGTTTATGGTTTTATAGAATATTATATACCCATCACCAAATTATTTGCTTCAAAGTCTAAAAATTTTAGTAAAATATTTTTTCGAATTTTTTAATATCAAACATTTCAGATCAATAGAGAGAATATGATGTGAAAATAAAATTTCCAGAGGACTTCTCATTTAAAATTTCAGCGTATTATAAATAAAGATTAATTCGAACAGACATGTATGTTTATTGTTATGCCATACACCACTATAGTGAGGAGGATATTATGCATATGGGCTGATGTTTATAACACCCAAAAATATTGATTCTACACCCATCTTAAAGTATACCAATCGGCCCGTCTTTCAGTCCGTCCAGCTGTACGTCAGCTTGGCATGTACGCCTTTTTTGATACAGGTACGAACCCTATTGAAAATGGTTGAAATCGGTCTATTATTTCAGCAAAATTTTATAAAGATCAGTCCATAATTGACCCTACCCCCCATATAAGGTCCCCTTCAGAAAATGACTTTAACGCTAATAACTGCTTTAAAGTAGCAGCTATAGCTATCAAATTCGACATTAACATATTTTATAACAACCTTAATACCTTTGTAAAATTTTGTAAAGATCGGTCCATAATTGACCCTACCCCCATATAAGGTCCCCTTCAGAAAAAAACTTTAACGCTAATAACTGCTTTAAAGAAGCATCTATAGCGATGAAGTTCGACACGAACATATTTTATGGGAAACTTAATGTCATTGTAAAATAGTATAAGGATAGGTTCATAATTGACCCTATCCCCCATATAAGGTCCCCTTCAGAAAATGACACGAACATATTTTATAGGAAACTTAATATCATTGTAAAATTGTATAAGAATCGGTCCATAATTGACCCCATCCCCCATATAAGGTCCCCTTCAGAAAAAAATTTAACGCTCATAAATATCTAAAAGAAGCATATATAGCGATGAAATTAGACATGAACATATTTTATAGAAATCTTAATGTCATTGTGAAATAGTATAATGATCGGTTCATAATTGACCCTATCCCCCATATAAGGTGTCCTTCAGAAAATGACTTTAACGCTCATAACTGTCTAAAAGAATCATCTATAGCGATGTAATTCGACATGAACATATTTTACAGGAACCTAAATCGATTTGTAAAATTTTATAAGGATCGGTTCATAATTGTTCCTACCCCCATATAAAGTCCCATTCAGAAAATGGCTTTGACGCTCATTACTGCCTCAATTAAATCGTTCTAGAAAATTTGACGAGGATCGGTCTATAATTGACCAAAAAAAGCAATTTATTGGCGAAAAACTTATTTTCTAAAAGAGGCTTTTATATAGGAGCAAATGTGGACCGATCCCGATAAAATGGGCTGGATAGATTTGTATTTATATAATATATATAATATTTGTCTGTGCTAAATTTCATTGCAATAACTTTCTGAAGGGGGCTTTGTGTGGGGGCTAGGGTCAAATAAAGTCCGATTATTTCGAAATTCGGCAAGGTCATCAAGGTTTATATAACACTTAGTTGTGCGAACTTTCATCGACCCCCCTTTTCGGGGGGTTCAGTTGTATGAGGGCTAGGTGAAATAATGGACCGATCTTAACCATTTTGACGTCCTTGGGTCAAAACAAACGTGTGTTCCAAATTTCATCAAATTATCTTGAAAATTGCTACCTGTACATTGATAACAATGTTTACATGGACACACGGATGGTCGGACGGACAGACGAACATCGTTAAATCGACTCAGAAGGTGATTCTGAGTCGATCGGTATACTTTATTTACTAATATTTTAATGCGTTACCAGTTTGTATACCCTACAACACTAGTGGAGAGGGCACTATTCATTTGTACTGATGTTTGTAACACCCAAACTATTTGTTTTATACCCATCTTAAATTATACCTGTCGGTTCAGTATAATTTTCCGATTCGATTAAGCTATGTCCGTCTGTGTGTCCGTGTAAACCTTGTGAGCAAATTTCAAAATAATTTGAAAAAATAATTTGAAAAAATTTATAATGAAAATAAATCGCATTTAATATTCATAATTGGTGTAGGTTATCATATGGTCGGCCACGTCCAACTATAGTGTTTTTACTAGTTTCTAGTTATTCTTGTTTCTGGATTTGAAGCATTTTCGATAAGGAATGAGTTTTGCATAATATATTTTAGAAATTTCTTTCTTCTTTGTCTTAGAGCTTTATTAAATCGTAACTTTCTAAAATATATGTATACATACATATATGCTTTTTAACATCTACGACAAATATTTCATGGTGTTACAAACTGTATAACGTAATCAGTATATCTGCATATTTTGCGGACATCGTATCAGCATATTGTAAATATTTGTTAATCTGTTACTTCTTCTTGGAAATTCCAGATTTACGTAGTAAAATAAATTATTTCATAAATAAATATAAACAAATAAATTGCAAAATATCAATTATTAAGAAATAAGTAATAATCGGGTCAAATGATCTAATAAATAAACAGAATTTTTCAGATGCAGAGCAAACTAATTAATAATGCAAATATATGGAGACCAGAATATGTTATAAACTAATTAAATTTTTAATACTCTTAAAGCCTACAATATTTTGGTCTATTGAAAGTCAATATCTTGACCATCTAGAACACCCAAAGATGGTTATATCGATTTTATCTACGAAACCCAAAGATGGGTAAGTATATCGATTATATCTACAATTTATCTCTATAAGTTAAACTACATAAAATTTTAATTTTCACATGCAAATACATATATCGCAAATCGAAAATTTTATTTGGGAAAAAAAAAAAAATAATTAAAAATTAAGTTTATTTTTAAAGCAAAAATATTGTAATAAAAATTATAAAATTATTAATGCTCCATTATATCACCAGCTATTTCAACCGGTTTTGATTTCATTTCTTTTGGTGGTGAAGGTGGCGCCGGTGCAGGATAACAAACAGTTCTTTCATTCTGTACCGTTTCACCATTTTCATTTGTTTCATTTATTAACATGGGCATACAAATTATACCATATGTTGGTGCTGGCGGTTCTGTTGTACTTAAAGGTAGTTGAGTGGTGGTACTTCTGGTATCTCTCTCGCCAGAGCTTACTGTTGTTGTAGTAATTTCCGCCAAGGGTGCGATAAAAGGTTTCTCTGTGGTTAACTGTTGTGGGCCATTTATAATTACAACTTGTGGGGAAGTATTATTTAATTTGGCAGTATTTTCAGCAGCTGATGGATTGTCCCTATAGACATGAGTAACATGATAGTGGGGAGATGAAAAACCCATAGTTAAGAGGCGGCCGGTTAGATAGCCGGTTAAGAAATCACCAAAGTCTTAAAAATAAGGAACAATAAGTTTTGCTTATTAAAGTTGTAGGGTAATAACAACATACCTGATCCTCTGGGTGGAGCTTGAGCAACATATATAGCATTTCCGGGCAAAGCGGCCGTATTATGATAATATGAACCTCCCGTTGGTAGTGGCGGCGTATTATAATAATTACTTCCCTTTAAATTTTTCTGAAATTTATCACTACTACTGGATTTTTTATTCTCATGCATGGCTTTCGTAATGGGTGTGTGTACCGGTGAACTACTTACAATACGCCGTGAACTTCCACCACCACTTGAAGGTTTTTTATATTTACGCCAACTGCCAAAGAGACCACCAAATGAACCGCCACGCCTACCACCACGTGCCTCACATAATGACAGCAATACAATCGCAATGATTAATATTTTCACTAGTATTTTTTCACACTTCATACTATAAATCTTATTTTTTTTTAAAAAGTTTCTTTTAAATAATTTTTTTTTCCAGCTACAACTTAATTCTTTCTTTCCTTTGTATGAAATTTCTTTATAGACCTTAGACTATTTTTGCGATCATTCCACTTTGCTGTCTCTTAATACAATGATCAACGTAATCACATTTTGTATTCAAGTCTTTAGTCTAGAGGCCATTTGACTTAAATATAAATGATCGTACGTGTAGTCATACATGCTGCACCAGAAATGCGATATAATTTAATTTATCAAAAGAAATTTAAGTTATGAGGGCGGTAACGCTGATATATTCATGGATAATAAATGAAGTCTTGTAATACCCTATAGGCTATTACGTTTGTAAACAATGTATGTAAGTATATTACATATTTTACTAATTAAGTTTTTTTTTAGAAATTACGTCAATGATAATTGTTATTGTAGAGAAGAAATATAAATGCATATATTACATTCTTGTTGTAAATAAAATACAAAATTCATAAAATATTTTTCGCTCTAATGAAATAGTTTACGATTCGAAATCTGTTGTTATCTGTAGATCGTTACATACATATCTTTTGATTCCATTATACTAACCATAAAAATTATTTATTTTATTTCCAGTATGTGTGACTACTACAAAATGCTAATTGATTTGTTTAAATTAATTTAAATTAATATGTTGACAGACATAGTTCCAATTTATATAAATTGTGAGAAAGTCCATAGATATTAAACGTTTGTGATAAAAAAAATGGAAATTTTACTATATAAATCATATTGTAAGGTATCAAATATGGTAACATTTTATTATAATTTAATTTATATCGCACATGTCCCTCAGGTTAAAAATTTAAATAACAGTGTCAAATACAAATAATACAATTATTAACTACGATCTTACTTTTATTAAATTCTAGCAGAAATTGTATTATAAATGTTACTTCAAAGGGGCTTCTGCATAAAAGGAGTAAAATTGAAACTGTATACTTTAAAATAGCGGGTGGTCCAAATGCTAGTACATATATCTTTATAATTTGTTTAATTTTGATACTCAAAAATTATTTATACTTAATCAAAGTATTGAATATCAGTCAGGGTAATGCTTCTGCATTAAACAAATTTTATATGACCCAAAATATTTTTACCAAATTTTATGAGGATCGGTCCGTAATTGACCCTACCCCATATAATGTCCCTTTCAGAAAATAACTTTATCGCTCATTACTGAACTAAAAATACGAATAAAGCAACGAAATCACGACACCAATTATATGACCCAAAGTCTTTCTACCAAATTTTGTGAGGATCGGTCCATAATTGACCCTACTCTCCATATAAAGTCCCCTTCCGAAAATGATTTTAACGCTCATTACTGAATTCAAAAATACGAGTATAACGATGAAATTCGACATAAATAAGTTTCATATGACTCAAAATCTCTCTACTAAATTTTATGAGGATCGGTACATAATTGACCCTACCAGCCGAAAAAATTTCTACCAAATATAATGAGTATCGGTCCAAAATTGCCTCTTCATCCCATATAAGGTCCACTTTTCTTTTACGCTCAGTACTGGAATAATAATACGAGTACAGCGAAGAATTTCGCATAAGCCAGATGTATATAAACCAGAATTGGTTAACCAAATTTTATAAGAATCGGCTCAAGTTTCATATGAACAAAAATCGATGTATAAAATTTTATGAGGTGCATAATTAAACCTATCCCTCATATATAAAGCCACTTTCAGATTGTTACGAGTACAGTTTCATCTCTGTTCTCGTAACTTTCGACTTAAACAAGTTTTATAGGAATATAATTCTTCATTCTGAATTCATTGAGGATTAATCTAAAACTGACAATATCACATATATATGGTTCCCTTCAGGTAAGGTACTTCCTTATTTAAAAATTCGAGAATATTGATGACATCTTTCAACCGAATTTTACGACAAGCGATCCATAGCACATATATGTATATAAATTCATGGTTTAAAAATTGGACAAAAATATTTTGTTAATTCGAATGAGCTCGGTCCATAATTGACTTAAGCCCTATTCCAAATACTGTCCTTATGTTTATAGGGAAGCATTCTTTTTATGGTATACGGTTTGATGGTGGGTATATAAGATTCGGCATAGCCGAATATAACACTCTTACATGCTTTTCATTGATAGGTTTATATCAATTTTCGCATTTACTTGTGGTTTAAAACGTTTTAATTTACAAACTGATTTTGTAGAAATTTATTTATACTACCTCTATTTTATATACCTAGCCTCCATAAAAAGTGCCCTTCAGACAATAACTTTAACGTTCAGTGCTTACGTAAAAATCTTTATTATGATGTTAGTGAAACTCGACATGAAAATTTTTTATGAAAACTAAAATCTTGCTACACAATTCCATGAAGATCAGTATATAAAACTCTTTACAGAGTTTTATGAAAATCGGTCTAAACTCAACCTAAACGCCATTAAATAACCCCTTCAGAAATTGACTTAAACTCTGATTACTCACTTAAAAATACGAGTACATCGATAAAATTCTACATATACAGCTTCTATATTAACTAAAATCTCTCCGCCAAATTTTATGAAAATAGGTCAGTAACTCAATCCATCATATCAGATCCCCTTCAAAAAAATAATTTATTACATAAATAAGGTTTATATGAACCGAAATTTCTTTACCAAACTTTATGAGAATCGGTATATAATTGACCCTACCCCTCACACAAATATAAATACAGTCCTATATTACATCTTGCATTGCGGTAGTGTAGACTTTAATTAAAGATTTCTTTATGTTGTGATGTTTAAATGAAAAATCATATTGACTTCAACCAGACATTGTTAAATTCATAAAAGCAATCTTTAACAAAGAAAGTTAATCATTCTTGTATCTATATAACATTTTAGTTTTAATTAATTGTTTTTTTAAAAGACAAAAGATAACATATGTACATTAGGGTTATAACCTTTTTTTGGGCGGCAAAATACCACAGCACTGCCTTATAGCCAATACTGTCATGTCGCGAAAAAATTATATATTCCTTAACATCTGTTTACGTCCTACAGGGTCCTGCTATGGTAATTTAATTATTCCAAAAATTAAAAAAGTTACACCTAATACACATACATATACATATGTATATCAATTTATTTTCGATTTTGTCGAATCAAATGTACCCTACAATATGAGACAAATGAATTCAGTCTTCAACTAAATGTTATGGGGATCGGTACAAGAATGAGCATGCCATAACCTCGTTGCAGAAAATAAATTTTTGTTTAAATATCATTAAGCAAAAAGTCTAGAAATTCTTTCTCAAATTCGAGTGACTTCGGGCGACATTAGACCGACTCACTCTATATTGAAAGCAAAAACGTGCTTTTGTTACCCCTCTCAAAATGTACTTTGCATTTTTTATGATGATGAATATTTTAAGTCTATATCGATGAATATTTTAAGTCTATCGATGTTTGTTCGTGAGCTGGACTTAAACAAGAAAACGTTTTGTATTCGGCTATGCTGAATGTTATATAACCACCATCAAATTATGTGCCAAATATTTCAAGTTAATTTCGATGATATGAATCGATCATTTTATTATTTGTTACCACAATTTACTCATTTATTCTAAATTTTAATATCGTATATAATTAGTAATCAGGGCTCTCAAGTAAAGTCTCTTTCACAAAATTAATTTTTATACACTTCACCACTATTAGTGGTGATATAGAGTATATATAACTTTGTTATTCCGGGTGAAACACCAAGAAATATTAATCTAAGACCAAACAATGTATATACATATATTTTGGGTCCTTATCATATTCTAAAACGATTTAGCCATGTCCATCTGTTCTCATGCTCACATTAGAACTAAGCAAAAGAAATAAACCAAATTCACCAAATATATTTATTGTTATCCTGAGGAGTGTGGTGTTGAAAATTGGAAAAATCGGTTCACAATGTTAAAGGTTATGAGTAAAAAAATCAAACTACCTCGAAAAAATTATGTCTTTTTATACCTTCCACCACCATCAGTGGTGATAGAGGGTATATATAAGTCTGTCGTTCCGTGTGTAACACCAAGAAATATTCATCTAAGACCCAACAAAGTATATATATTCTGGGTCCTTATGAAATTCTGAGTCGATTTAGCTATGTCCGTCTGTCCGTCCGTCTGTCTGTCTGTGTAAAATACGCTTAGGTTAAAACTAAGCAAAGGAAATCAACCAAACTCACCCAAAATATTTATTATTATCCTAAGCAGTTTGGTATTGAAAATCAGCTAAATTGGTTCACGACGTAAAAAGTTATGAGTAAAAATTTCAGACTACCTCGAAAAAAATTACGTTTTTTTTCATAATTCTTTTGAAGTTTTCTCAGAAACTACTAAAGATATTTCGATGAATTTTGTCACACATTATTTTTTCATGGCAGTGATAAATTATGTTGAAAATCTTTAGAATCGATCCAATATTTCCCATAGCCCCCATACAAAGGTATATATTCCCGGAAATTAGTTTATCGTTAATAACTCCCTCAAATATATCGGTATCAACACAAAATTTTGTACATGCAAATATAATATGAACAGAAATCATACTGTTAACGTAGGTCCTCAGTCGGTCCACAATTGGTCATAGCTCCCATACAAGGTCCACTTCCGAAAATCACCTAAACGGACATATTTCAATGACGAATAAAGCTATTGTGATAAAATTCGAGTTAAATATGTTTTGTGTACATACAAATCATTCTTCCCAATTTTTTACGGATCGGTCCTTTATTCGTCATAGCTCCCATATAAGGCCCACTTCCGAAAATCGTTTAAAAGCTATTGTGATAAAATTCGAGTTAAATATGTTTTGTGTACATACAAATCATTCTTCCAAATTTTTTACGGATCGGTCCTTTATTGGTCATAGCTCCCATATAAGGCCCACTTCCGAAAATCGTTTAAAAGCTCATATTTCATTGTCATATAAAGCTAACTTATTGAAATTCTACACAAATATGTACAGTCTAAATATAAATCACTCTACGAAATTTTTTCCGGATAGGTCCATATTTGGTCATAGCTCCCATATAAAGTCGCCTTCCGAAAATAACGTAAACGCATATATTTCATTGAAATATAAAGCTATCGGGATAAAATTCGACACAAATATGTTTTGTATACATACAAATTATTTTACAAATTTTTTTACGGATCGGTCCATTATTGGTCATAGCTCCCATATAACCTCACTTCCGAAAATCACTTAAAAATACATATTTCATTGTCAAATAAAGCTATCGTGATAAAATTCGACATAAATATATTTCGTATAAATATAAATTATTCTACTAAATTTTTTCCGGATAGGCCCATAATTGGTCATAGCTTCCATATAAAGTCCCCTTCCGAAAATCACTTAAACGCATATATTTCATTGAATTATAAAGTTATCGGGATAAAATTCGACACGAATATGTTTGGTATACATTCAAATCATTTCACCAAATTTTTTACGGATCGGTCCATTATTGGTCATAGCTACCATATAAGGCCCACTTCCGAAAATCTCTTAAAAGCACATATTGCATTGTCAAATAAAGCTATCGTGATAAAATTCGACACAAATATGTTTTATCTTTATATGAGTCAAAATTTTTTCCGGATAGGCTCATAATTGGTCATAGCTCCCATATGAGGTCCACTTCCAAAAATCACTTAAACGAATATATTTCATTAAATTCTAAAGCTATAAGGATAAAATTCGACTTGAATATGTTTTGTGTACATATAAATCATTCTACCACTTTTTCCCCGGATCGGTTCATTATTGGTCATAGCTCCAATATAAGTCTCACTTCCGAAAATTACTTAAACGCACATATTTAATTGTCAAATAAAGTTATCTTGATAAAATTCGACACAAATATATTTTGTCTTTATATGAATCACTCTACGAAATTTTTTCCGGATAGGCTCCCACTTACGAAAATCACTTAAACGCACATATTATAATAAAGCTATCTGGATAAAGTACGACTTGAATATGCTTTGTGAGCATATAAATCAATCTACCAAATTTTTTCCGGATTGTTCCATATATGGTAATATTTCCTTCAAAAAAAATCACTTAAACGCACATATTTCATTATCAAATAAAGATATCTTGATAAAATTGTACACAAATATGTTTTGTGTAAGGTCATAGCTTCTATACATATAAAGTCCACTTCCGAAAATCACCTAAACGCACATATTTCATTAATTAATAAAATTATTTTGAATTTTGATTTTTTTTTTTTTGGCATATAAATCATTATACGAAATTTTTTCATTATCGGTTGATAATTGGTCACAACTCCCATATAAGGACCATTTCCTTATATGGGAGTTGTGACTCAAATGCACATTAACAATCAAAATTATTGGGATAAAATTCGACATAAATGTGTATTTTGTATATATAAATCATTCTACGGATTTTTTCTTCCGGATCGGTCCATAGGTTGTCTTAGCTTACATATAAGGTATACTTCTGAAAACCACTTAATACCACTTAATTCGTAATTAAATGATTACATCCGGATAAAATTCAAAATGAGTATGTTCTGTGTACAGATAAATCATTATATTAAAATGTTATCAAACTGGCCTATTAATATACATTTTTCTCGACCTAATTAAAATTAATTTGACATATGCATAAATGTTAGTACCCTCAATAAGGAAACAAAAATTTTGCCAAGTTATCTAAAAATTATATAGTTAAATGGGTTTCAATAAAAAGTAGCTTGCTTGTGGAGGGTATTTAAGATTCGGCATAGCCGAATATAGCACTCTAACTTGTTTTTGTAATTCTTAAGCAGTTTTCTCAGAAACTACAAAAGATAATTAAATGAATGTAGACACACGGTCCTTTTTTACCCAGGGATCAATTATGTTCAAAATCATAACAATCGATCCAAAATTTCTCATAGCCCCCATACATTTCTCGCAGAATTTATACTTATTAAAATACGTTACAAAAGAAGTAACTTAATGATGCTTGGTATAAAAATTTGTAAACAAAATAATTAAATTTTATAAAACGGACCTCTTAAATACACCAAATGTAACAACATATTACAAATTTAACATGTAGAAAATTTTACATGTTTATGACTCATTTCCAGCTACATTTGTAGACTAATATATTTTTTAATGCAAAAATACTAAAAATTTTAAATATATATGTTTCTTATCGCCATTACTGAATATGATTCTGAATAATTGAGAGTACTAGTATATTAGGAAAACCAAAGACATATTCTTATCACTTTTAAAAAGAACAGCAAAGTAAAAAGGTCGCTGCTAATGAAATTGTTATTTATACAAAATTAAAATAATAATTGTGAATAATTGTGAAAAAATAAGCTTTGTGTAATGCATAAGGTGTTAGTATTTGTGTATTGTGCTATAATTGCATTCATACTAGTTTCTACAGCAGAAGCTAAAGGTGGAAGAGGTGGTGGAGGTAGAAGTGGCGGCAGAAGCAGTGGAAGAAGTTCTAGTGGAAGAGGAGGTTTTTTTGGTAGTAGTAAAAGTAGTAGCAGTAGTAGTTTTGGTAGTGGTAAAAGTAGCCACTTTGGAGGCAGTCATGGAGGCTCACATACCAGTGGTGGCTGGGTTAATGGTTTCTTTCACAGTACACCTTACCGTTACAGCTACAGACCCATCTATATAAGTAGAACTAGTACACATACAGGTTCATATCATGTACCAAACAAAGAAGAAGAGGAAGCAACAGATCACAATAAAGGTTAGTATGGAGGTCTTGCATATTTAAAACTTTTATTATTAATATGTATATTTAAAAATTATTTTAGATACCGGAAATTATGCTGTGGGTTACTCCATTAGTAAGGCATTAAGCAATGACTTTTTCTCCATTTTTAATGTGGTCCATGATATTTCAAAATATCCCGAAAAAATCAGAAATAAGGAACTAACAACTACAACAACACAAAGTCCAGTAGATACATATGATTTAAACTACATTATAAATACCCCCTATACAACAACTAGGTCAATATATGATACTGATCCTAAATCATATTTTCTTGATGATGATACTCTTTTCGATATGATGACATCGAAAAAGACCTCGGATGAAAACATTCATCAAGATTATGATGCAAAGCAATCCAGTGTCGAAAATTTAGATAATGTTCTTGAAGAATCAGCTACAGAAAGCACTACTACGGTTGTTGATTACATCAAATCCAATTCTGATTTTAAACCTATTTCTTGGAGGGATAATACTATGTCCAACACAGGAATAATTTCGGATTACAACGATGAAAGTATTCAGAAAATGTTGAAAGGGATTCAATCAAGCGTTGTAAATTTTGATAATATTTCAGAAGGTGGTACTTTTAAAAGAACTGAGAAGAAAGATCCAAATGAATCAGTTGATGAAATGTTGAAGCAATTACAGAAAAATATGGAATCGTTTAAATTGTATTAGTAATATATTATTTCCGCATTTATAGTTATAATTTGGGTTCTAATATTTAGAAATAGATTTAGGCATAAGTTTATATTTTAATACATTTTTATTCACTATCAGTTGAAAATAAATGAAAATTTTTTATAACAAATATATTGATTTATTTAGAAAATGTAATTTTTTATAAAAATTTATCTCTCCTTTTATAAGGCGTTTATTAAAATTATTAATTATTTTTTGGCGGACTGGTCCATTTTAGGGCCTGCTCGATATCAGTTCATATTCTAGTAATATATATTATAAGGTGTTCTGGATGTTCTCAGTTTAGACTTTTGAGGAATTTTATTATTCTCTGTAATATTTTTTTCTACAAAATAACTGCCTATCGATTTAAAATTATCCATAAGGTCTCAAAAAGAATAGTCAAAACAATTGGTAAAAAAACAGACAAGTCGTTCATAAGTCTTTTAAATTCCGTAGAGTTTGATAGATAATTGTTCAAAATCCTCTCCCGAAAAGCATATTGATGCTCATATTAATACGTATTACGTATGATAACGTTTTGATGGTGAATATATGTATATATTGATATAATCCAATATAATAAAATTATTTTCTTTATTTTCTTGCTTTTTTTATTTGTCCAGACACTAATTAGCCACCTATCAATTCTATTAACTAATTAAATCTTATAACTAATAAATAATTCTTAAAACTAATAAAAAGAATCATAACATTCAATAACAATATTTTCAAATTATTAGTTCCATAGAAAAATATTTATAGAACTCTCATTGTTTAAATGAGCATTATTTTCTAGGGTTAACTGTTATCAGACAAAAATTATTGAGAATATAATAAACAATAATATATAAAAGCAAACATTTAGAAAATGATAATTATTTAATATAAATACGTATTTCAGTTAAGTACAAACAAAACATTCAATGAACTTTCGAATATTTTTTGGTATTTTGTTGATTGCAACAGCATTCTTAGCAACTAGTGGAGCAACTAGCGGTAGCAGTGGTTGGGGTGAAAGTATTTGCAAGGCTATAAGCTATTTTTTTAGAAAACTTATTAGCGGAGTGCCCAAAGCTGAACAGCCTTCCACGTTTCCCAAGAAAACCTATACGTATGATGATTTACCAGCTATAAATGCTCGTCATTTATATCCAAGCTTAACACAATATCCTAATAGTGGTTTTGATTATCAGTCTAAAATTGAACCTTCTTCAAAAACAGGTAAGTAAATCTCCCAATAAGATGTAAAATTAAGATTAATTGTTTGTTATATTAACTAATTATTTTTTATTATTTAGATAACACACTTGTTGAGCGTATTGAATCAAATATCAAGAGAGAGAAGAGAAGAACGAATATGTTAATAGCTAATTAAAAGTTATGATGATTTTTTGATTAAGAATGATATCAGGGATCATTAAATAATAACGCACGACATGAGTTCAAAAGTTTATAAAATTCTATATATGTACATATCTTTATAACTTGTATCTTTAAATCAAAATGTTTCATTCTTAAGTATTTATATAATGATGAAAACTAAGTAAAGATATTCTAAATAATATTCCAATACTAAACTTTTTACATTTTAAATGGTTATACCGATTTCAATCATATATCTAGAAAAGAAAAGACGTCGAATTTAATGTTCATTTCTAGATCTCTTAAACCTTCAGGCTAGTAGAGCAAGTCGGGTATGAAAATATAAAACCACAGTGAATATACCAGACTATACTCTGGTATCTTTAGTTAGGACTATAGAGTAGTCCATAGTCTAGGCTATAAGAAAATAGTACATAGTCTAGACTTTAGACTAGTCTATACCCTGGACTATATATAGTTTATAGTTTGGACTATATATAGATCAGTCTACAGTCCGGACTATAAATCAGTCTTTAATTTTTGGATTCTAGATTAGTCCATAGTCTGGACCATTGGTTGGACTATAATCTGGACTATAAACTAATCTATAGTTCAGACTATAGACTAAACTGGACTATTGATTAGTCTATAGCCTGGACTAAGGATTAGTCTATAGTCTGGACTATAGATGAGATCTATAGTCCAGACTATAGACTGATCTATAGTCTGGACTATAGATTAATCCGTATTCTAAACAATAGATTGGTCTACAGTCTTTACTATAGATTAGTCTATAGTCTGGATTATAGATTGGTCTATAATCTGGACTATAGATTAGTATATAGTCTGTACTATAGATTAGTCTATAGTCTGGACTATAGATTAGTCTATAGGCTGGACTATACATTAGTCTATAGTCTGGACTAAAGATTAGTCTATAGTCTGGACTATAGGTTAGTCTATAGTATGTGCTATAGATTAGTCTATAGTCTAGACTAAAGATTAGTCTATAGTCTGGACTATAGATTAGTCTATAGTCTGGACTATAGATTAGTCTATAGTCTGGACTATAGATTAGTCTATAGTATGTATTATAGATTAGTCTATAGTCTAGACTATAGGTTAGTCTATAGCCTGGACTACAGATTAATCTATAGTCTGGCCTATAGATCAGTCTATAGTCTGGACTATAGATCAGTCTATAGTCTGGACTATTAGTCTATAGTTTGGACTATAGTTCAGTCTAAAGTTTAGACTATAGATCAGTAGCCTATAGTCTTAATATAGATTAGACCATAGTGTGGATTAGTTTCTAGTCTGAACTATAGGTCACTCTATTGTCAGTACAATATATCATTGTATAGACTGCAAAATATATCAGTCTATAGTGTGGACTATGTATATGTAGATCAGCCTATAGTCTGGACTATAAGTCAGTCTGGGCTGTAGATCAGTCTATGGTCTCGACTTTAGATTAGTATACAATTTGCACTTCAGATAAGTTTATAGCCTGGACTATAATCTGGATTATAAAGTAATCTATAATCTTGACTGTAGACCAACTTTTAACCTTGATTATATACGATTTGTAATTTTTAGCGGAATTTTCACTATATTTTCCTTCTTATAAAAAGAGACATTTTGAGTTTAAATTATTAGCTAAAAATATGTTATAATTGTGTTAATTATTTTACATACAAAATAATACAAAGTACAACTAATTTAAATATAGTTTGACAATTAGCAACTTTATATTTAGATAATAGCGGCCAATGGAGGGTTTTGGTATGTAGTTGGAGTGGGCGTGATACTGGTAGGATCACAATTAACTCCTGGATTTTGTTGTAGTTCGTTATTTACTATTTTGTCAGGTACTGGAGTGCCAGTTATGCATGGATTTGTAACAGTAGTAGGGGCAACTGTAGTCGTTGTCGTTGTTGTCTTTCTACGTCTTAGTTTTCGGCGAGCTGAATTAGCTCCTGCTACATAACCTGCTGCGAAATCATCTAAAATTTTTAAATTGTTAATATTTTTAATTGAAAATGTAAAAATCTTAAATACCTGTTCCTGAAGATTGTGTATTTGGTTGCTGTGCATTTACGATATAAACAGGTTGTTGAGGAGTATTTACAATAGTATCTCCATTATTTGGAATAGCAGTTTGTTGTTTTGGATAGCTTTCAGGTTGATTGAAATTATGAGGACTTTCTGGAGTATTTGCTACATGAGTATTACTATGAGTTTTTGCTACTTCGGTATTTGAATCATGAGTATGTTGTTTGGAATTACGGTCAGCAGTATTATGATGTTGGCTAACAACTGCATGATGTTCACCTGCGCTTCCTCTTTTGTTATGACCGCTTCCACTTTTATTAAGAATACTCTCACTATGCTGAGTACTTTGTTTATTTGAAGTAGATCTATTACGTGGTTTCGATCGTTTGCGAGCTTCGGCGCCAGCTGTAAACGCAATAGCTATAATTAGCATACTAAATAACACAGTTTTTAATTTCATTTTTGGTTCCTTGTCGATTGGTGTATACAAAAGTATTTCAAAATTATAAAATTATTCGTCTCTTGTTGGAAATAAAATGATTCTACTTGCTAAGTGTATTATGAATTTATACAGTAATCTTAAAGAAATTAAAATTGTGATTATTAAAGTGAATTTTATATATTCATAATTTTTTGATATTTCAATCTCTACCTAATGATTTTGAGTAAATTTGAAAACATGTTTGCAAAATATAAAACAAATAATGCGCATTTTTTAATACTTAGAATCGTAATTATTACTTGAATTGACGTTTTCAACTGCATATCAGAAATTTTTGTGTGACGGCAATTGTTATAAAAATGTTATGATTATTCAGAAAGTTTTCAGATTATTTAGTGGAGGTTTGGATCATGGACCGAGCTTTAAAGAATTTAAAATATTGATTTACGATTAAAAGACAGTTTCTGTATCATAATACTAAAATGTCTCACTATTTTATTGAGAATGCAATTGTTCTGGGCCTTATTATAAAATAATATAAGACTCGTATAATTATATAAAATCTAAACAGGATCTATTCGAAACACAAATATTAACTGGGTTAAAATATGTATATTATATACACACATTTGCTTGTTTTAATTTGCTCCAGGGAAAAGTATTTATAATATTTTTTTTTGTCTCTTATGTTTAACTTAATTAAATGTTTTCTGTCTTTTCTGGAAACGTACGTAAAACCAACAATCAGTCAGTTGCTTTTGAACTAAGTGTACCAAGTTCCATAATAGGACAATAGTAATTATGAAAGAGTATAAATCAAGATAAAAATATGTAAAAACATTTAAACATTTAAAATAAATTATAACATACAAAGATTACAAATATGAATTTTTCTGTAATGGTTATGATTAAGTAAAATAAACATATGAATACATATTAAATGATTTAAGCTTTTATATAAAAAAACAAGTAAGAAATTATAGTCGGGCGAGGCCGACCATATAATACCATACACCTGTTACAAAAAAATGTGATTTAGTTTTCATAATAAAGCATTTAAGTTGAATTGTACCTTGCCTCAGATATACTTAAGCCATTTATTGTTGAATAAAATTGTGGACATTTAAGTCGAATTTTTAAGGGGGCTATGATCGAATGAGACCCTATAATTAAAAAGTGCATGAGGGTCATCAAAGCTAGTATAGAACTTGGTTTTGAAGCTTTTTGTCGAGATACGAGTATATTAAACATAATTATGAACTTAAAGGCCCTATTAGTCCAGTTCAGTTGTATGCGGGCTAGGTGAAATAATGGACCGATGTTAACCATTTTCAATAGGCTTCGTCTCCGGTACCATAGAAGATCGTGTTCAATGAATTATCTTCAAAATTGCGACCTGTAGTTTGATTACAAGGACAGACGAACGGACGACAGACGGACGGACATAGCTAAATCGACTCAGAAAATTATTCTAAGCCGATTGGTTTACTTTAAGGTGGGTATAGGACCAATATTATTGTGCGTTACAAACATCAGCACAAACCCAATATACCCTCCCCACTAAAGTGCTTTAGTATAGAATAATTATGAACTTAAACAAAAACCATAAGTTATATAGAAGAAAATGGTAATTCTTGTATCCCCTTATATTCATATTCATCATTTTTATTAAATTTCGTATGACCGATCTGAGAAAAATTTCATTTCACATTTATTCTGATTTTCGGAAGTTAACCTTTCTTCAAAGTTTAATTTTTGTAAAATTGTTCCCAAAATTTTTAGCCCGTTTCTTGTTTGAAATTTGTTTTCTTAGGGAATAAATGTGGGGATTATTCATGTTTTTCGGCGATTTTCGCAAGAGGCTTTATATGGAACCGTTCGGAACCATATAATGGACCAATCATGAAAAAATTTTAAAATAGCATTTTGTATACAAAAATAATATCTGTGCAAAGCTTTGTATGGATATCATTGTTTGGTAATGAATAATGTGAATTTAAGTGATATCTGGGAGGGGACCTTCGAGCCAAAATTTTTTCTGGTATAATATCTGTATATAAAAGCAATATTTGGGACATATTTTGTACACAGAGAAAACAGATTCGTTGTGATAACCGAATTTGTTTCCAATCGAATTCAGTCGGTTTGCACAACTATCCCATATTTCGATTGTAACTACTGTAAATTTCGGTTCCTGTTACTGAATATATGGTGTACGCAACTACTTTAAATTATTATTCTATAATCTGGATCGAAATTATCGGTATTTGGAACTGAAATATTATTTATTAAAACCAATTTGTGGATTAGTTTATTTGAAAATATATTTTATTTTGTTTAAAATAATTACAATAAAATATAAATATAAATGCACATTTACAAATCTACAAAACTTATTACTATAAAATAGTCACTTTTCTTCTCTAGTTTTGAGATATTGATGGTAAAAACCATATTTATGTACCAGGGATTTTGCTCTTAATTTTGTCCAACATTTCCAAAGGAACACTACCATAACACGCCTTTCCGCTGCTGTAAAATTATTAAAGATTATAGGAAAATAACACAAAATAGATGTTAAGATATAAAATAGACTAAACTTACCTTTTCTATCCCATTTTTCCGTATTAATTTACATTTAATTGTTAATAGTTTTATTATATAATGTATTGGAGAGGAAAATTTTAGAATTGGTTCCAAGAAAACTAGAATAAGTGTGAACAGAACCACCTTTTAAAAAGAAATTTGTATAGAAAATAAATCAGCAAATTTCGGAAATTATTTTGAATCAAGTTTAATTTTTTTAAATTTTTGCTTGTCGTATTTTAATGAAATAGTATACACTCTTATAGAAGACAAAAAAATTTTTTCTCCAGGGAAAATTATAATATGTGTATGTATTTTGGTCTCTTGTGCTTAACGTAGTTAAATGTTTTTCTTAAATGTATGTATGTAGAACGAACAATCAGTCAGTCAGTTTTGAACTTAACATGTAAAGTTCTACAGGATAGAAAATGTAATTATGAATAAATATAAATCAAGATAAAATAAGTAATAATATTTAAGCATTTTAAATAAATTATAACATACAAAGATTACAAATATAAATATCATTTTGCACTGGTTATGGCCAAGCTGACATAAAAGAAAGATTAAAGAATGTAGTGTTTAATAAAAGCTAATAAAATTTTATTATTTAGAAAATGTACTAGTACTAACATAATTTCACAGAAATAAACTAAAATTTTTATATACATACATATATTTATCTCAAATGGCTTTTATTCATTTCATGCCACAGAATTTAGGTTTAACTATTCTTCATTTAAACATACAACAAAATAAGTTATAGGAAAAAAATAATAATTATTTTTATGTTAGGTTGGCAAAAAACGACAACAAAATGTGGAAATATAAATTTGAAAAAAAAAAACAAAAATTTAACACCCGTCGTGTAATGAACACAAAAATACAAAATGAAATGTAAAAGAAACTGTTGGTCGTAACTATAGGCAACTCATGCTTAAATGCTGCCTGACATCATCTTCCGCATCAGCGGCTGGTTTCAAAATAGGAAAAAAAATTCTTGTTCATAGGGTCTAACAACAATCGAGGGTGGGTGGTTCGTTAGTATTTGATATTGCTTTATTTCTATTTTTCGCCTTGGAAAGGTTAGCTTGGTTTGGCTGACTGTGTCGCTGCTTGAGTGATGACAAATTATATTTGTCAGATTTATGACCAATTATGAGAGTGTTATATTTCACAGAACAAACCATCATCACCATCACCTTTAAGTGTGGTTCAAATTTAAGGCTTGCATTTGTTATTGTTTCTGTGACAGCCTGTGAATGGATGTACGATATAAATCCCGAGTATAAAGGGAAAAATTGTGTGGGACATTAACATCAAAACAATAAGAATACATGTAGTTTGGAGTATGGGAATTACTGTAGTGCGTTTGTTTTTTCCACTTTACTGTATGAGTGTTGTTTTCGCTTTTTCCCCTCATTTGACAACATCAGCAATTTTTCTTTATTTTTTAAAAGCAATGTGTCAAAAAGAGCAGAAGAATGCTAGTGCAATTATGATAGTTTACAGAGATGTGGTTAAGAGCTAGATATATGTATGTTTAAGGGCAAATAAAGAGAGATTCATCATGCGCCTGAATTAATTATGGACCGATCCTTATAAAATGTAACAAGATTTAAAATTTTGAGCCTTTAATTGAATTTTGATTAAGACTTATAACCGGCTTGGGACAATTTCGAATACCGCTTTGTTAAAGTTATTTGTTGAAGTATGCATACACCATTCATGGTTCAAATATTGTCTGATATTCATACTTCATAGTTTCGGAGACATTATAGAATAATTGATATTTAGTCAATGTATTTGTGAGCTTTTAAGAGCTTTTTCTAGAAGACATCCGCTTGGGGACCACTTACCCTTGACAATTGACTCAAAATAATTTTCTTTATTAATATTGAGATGCTCATTTATTTATAAATGAATTAAAATTTGATCATATCCACCTAAAATTCTCAAAAAGGAGTTTTAACTGAACTTTCATTTAAAGTTTTTAGTTTTAAATATCTACTACTCCACGTCTCTGTTTATGGTACAATTTTAAAACTATAATAAAAGAAAAACCAAAAAAAAACAAGTAAGAAATTATAGTCGGGCGTGGCCGACCATATGATACCCTACACCAATTGCGAATATTAAATGTGATTAATTTCAATAATGAAGCATTCTGTTAATCTTATATAGGTTCCAAATAATGTCTGTTTATGTACGGTTGTATGCTGACTAGGAGAAATAAAAGACCGATTTAATCATTTTCAACAGCCTTCGTTATTGGATCCAGAGAATAGTATGTGACCCATTTTAACAAATTATATTCAAAATTGTGATCTGTTGCGTGCACACAAGGTTTACAGTCACAATGACGGACATAGCTTAATAAGGACAAATATTTTTGAGTGTTACAAACATCACCACATTGTGCCGACTTTTGGATAGATAGTAGTATATTAGACGTAGTTAAAAGATAAAAGGCCGTAATCGGAAGGTCCGGATGTATGGGGGCTAGGGCAGAAATTGAGCCGAT